TTTTTTTTTTTTTTTTTTGCGAGAAATTCAACCAACGAAAATAACATCTCCCGCTCAGACACGTATGCCAAAAAATAGGGACTTGAAATTTTTGCAGGAACAAATGCTTGATTCAATTTCGTTTTTCCGTCCTGCTCGTCGTGTATTTTTAGCCTCGTTACAGGGTACAATGAACTTTTGCTGACAGGAAAACGTGACGCTTTACTTCTCGTTATGCTTTGTAACGCGTCCCCCCACGAGATACGTCATATAGGAATATGACAGGTATTTCAGAATTGTTCACGTTTTCTTTTCCCATGGGAATTTATAGTTTAATCAATTTTTTTACAAACAAACCTTTAACATGAAGTTCTTGATTAGAAATTTCTATTTGTCGCAAGAAAAGAAAATATTTCGTAAATTCAATCTTGAGATTTAATATCTGTAATGATTGATTATCCTTTTTACGCGTATATTTTTCTGAATTTAAGAGAACATGCAACAAGAAATATCTCAAGCTATCTTTTTCGGGATCGAAGATAAAATGCCCCGACTATTGAAACTTAAAAGACAAAATTTAGGAGGCTTTACTTACTGAATTAAATTTCAAAGATACGAATGAATACACTAGGTTTTTTTTTTTTATCTGTAAGTAAACTCTAATTCGAGTGATCGAAAGCCGTGAAATTTTCCCGAGAGAACCGTCGAATAAAATTTACATACAGATCACGAGGTTACATTAGCTCGAGACGCTCGAGACTAAGCTTTGTCGATCACTGCAGTTACAATTGATCGGTTGCAAGTAGTAAATCCAATGGGGAGAGTCACCCACCATTGGCCGGCATTCAATTAGTGCATTACGAACGACGTCCTGTCGAAGAGTGCAGGCGTGTTGACGGTCGGAAAGTAGGTAAATGGATTCGCGTGATAGCGAACCACGCCAATGGCCTTGTATAATCACATTGCCTTGATAAACTATATAAATGAAAGCCTTGCGCGATAGGTCCAGCCGCCGTGAATTACGTAAGTATACAGGATACCCAACCGTTGAGTTGCAGGGATAACGGGTTAATTAGCGGTCTTCTGTGCTCGCCGTAACCCAGCGACGTAATTAGCGACCGTTCGATCGGGAAATGACTATAATCAATTTGTTGCGCTGACGAAAAACTTTTCCATTTACGAAATCCCAATTTATCACGACCAGTTATTTTCTGTCTCCATTACGTTTGCATGGAGACTGCACGAGAGGAGGCAAAAGGTGTCGTCAATAATTCTAGATTATCTCTAAATTAACTCTAAACTCATGGCTAATTTCACGTACACTATTAGTATTAAGCTCGACAGCTTTCAATCAGTTCGAATTCCAGCTCTCCTCTTTGAAAAAATTCCAAACATTAACATCCAAGTCACATTTGAAAGAAATGTTAACGTATTTTTTTTTTTAAACATCGAATTTAAATTATTATTTTTCGACGAACGCTGATATGTATTGTTCTAATGAACAATAGATTTTCTGATAACAACGAAAATTTCAACGCGTTTTGCAGAAGCGAAAAGATTTTAAATTTTACTTAAGGAATTGAACAGTCTTGGTATTTCTAATTTCTTCGTGCAATTCTTTTTCGAAATTTCCAGTGATGTTTTTCAAAAGTTCTTCCGAGATCTCTCGTATTTTTTAAAACATTAATTTACAGCAAATATTTGAGAAAACTTTTGAATTTATGCAAAAATGCGGTTAATAGTATGATAGATGTGTTTATAAAATTCATTTATTCAAAAATGTATTTATGCAATGACGTCAACTGAAATAACGATGCAATAATACCGAGATGATGTATATGCGGCTGTCCTCGATGATCCAAAGATGCGTTTCGCGGGACCGACGTACGTGTACGTATAATCGAAAGTCACGTTTCGTCGTGCTGCTGGGAACTTCAATTATCCTAATGATAGCAATAAGGATTTGTGCGCAATGCAATTATCGTGAATAAAGCTACAGAGTTATGCCCGTCGCACACGCTGATATAATTACGTGATGACGATGGGGCGTGAGAAAATTCCATGATCGCGAGAACGCGGTCGAGACGCGAATTGTCGCGAATAAATTTCCACGCTCGGGATAACAATAATTATTTTAAATGCTACGCTTAACGATATAAATCGCGTGCATGTTTATGTGTTTGTATGGAAGATGATTCGCGAAAAGAGAGAGAGAGAGAGAGAGAGAGAGAGAGCAATTTTGTTGAAGAATCTGAAAATTTAGCTATAATAGATACAGATCTGAAAATAATGCTGGACCATCAAAATAATTTTGTAGGAATTGTAAAAGCTTTTTGATATTCTAGCAACTTAATTTTGTCCTACCCAATTGTTTTGATGGTCCAACAAAATTATTTTCAGATTTGTACGTAGCTAAATTTTTAGATTTTTCAGTGAAATTGCTCTTTCATTCAGTGAAATGGATCTTTATTTTTCACTATTAAATTAAATATGTACAAACAACACCACTTTGTTCATATCTGTCAGTTAACGTAAAAAATACGAGAAACTTATTCATACCAGAGTTGAAATTCGCGTAATAAATCAATTTACGAGATTCGATTTAAGTACGTCTTCACTCTTGCGAATTATTTTACTTCGACTTTCGATTCCGGGCTCTGAATTCTTCTACTCTCTTCATTTTCGCTCGTATGATTTCGAATACCTTTTTCTCTCTCTCGTTCTTTTCTTT